GTAATGTAATTGGATAAACATAAAAAATTGAAACTACACAGTGTTGATGTAAACTGCATGTAACACTGGAATGATATCACGTTTATCTGTCTCTCTCTTTCTCTCCAGATTGTAAGGTAGCAGCCATAAGTGTGAGGACTGTCGTAGTTAGCTATGTACAGTAGTTTAATGTACTGTGGAGACTGTGTGGGCTTCAGAGCTGTGTGTGAGCAGCCCCGGCACTTCATCAATCACTCCTGGCATCTTGCACCACAAATCGATCCCACAATTTGTGTCCAAAGCTGTATAATAACAGCCCACATCCCTCCCCTCAAGTCCTGCATGTATTAGAGAACCCAAAAATGCTGTAGTCTAGAAAATGAAAGAGTAAAGCTAAAACATAGAGAGAAATACCAGGATTTTCTTAAAAATATGAAATGCCATTTTTCATATTTAGGGGTTGATTGGAGAGCAGCAAAATTTCAGCTGCAGATGTTATCACTGCAGACCTTTTTAGTGCCTTCGTACTAAAAGCTGCACTGTAGCCCACACAACAGCCCTTGATATTGATCTTATTAAAGCCTGATTAAGTAGAGTTTTACTCAGGGGTATTTCTCTGCTTACAGTAAGGTCAGTCTGTCTCTCCTTCTCTTACAGTCATAAAGGGTATTGCAGGATGAAGCAGCTCCTAGTTTCCATGGTTTTGGTGGGAGTTTCAGGCTTGTTCAGAGCAGGGAGCGTATGCTATAAACTCCTGCTGATGACAAGGGGAACAGCAATTCTTCTCTACTGAGTAGCAGAGAATACTAGCTAATGATTAAAATGCTTTTGCCAAACACTGGTAGTCCAACCTGAACCTTAGATTATTTTTAAATTTTTTTGACTACCAATGAGAAGAACTTACAATACTTATTACCTAATACAAATTTATACAGGCTACAAACAAATTATGGTAGCATGGTGGCACAGTGGGTAACATTGCCACCTTACAGCTCTAGGGTCACGGGTTTGATCCTGAGTTCAGGTTTCTATGTTCTACCTGTGTCCATGTGGGTTCTCCAGTTTCCTCCCAACACACAAAAAACATGCCAGTAGGTGGATTGGCTAAGTGTCCCTAGGTGTGAATATGGGTATGCAGGGTGCTTTAGCACTGCAATGGACCCTGGTATCACATCCAGTGTGTATTCCTGCCTCATGCCCAGTGTACTAGGGATAGGCTCTGCAACCCTGACCAGGATAGAACAGAAGATGAATAAATGAATGAACAAATTAGGGCCTTTTAATAATCATAATTAAAGTATCATGGAGCTAAGAGACCCCATTAAAGACAGAAAGGAACTAGAGGTACTTAGGGCAATAAAATTTGTTTAAGACCAAACGATAACACAAACACTTTCTGGTTTCTGCAGCACAATGAATGTATGTTTTGTTGACTATTGGTTTCACCACAAGGGGCCTTTAACCCTGTGGTAAACTATATATAGGCAATAAAATTATGATTTCAGATGGCATATTCTGTAATGCATATCATTATGCATTACAGTGTTTATGCCAGTGTTTTTTGTATGGTTGTGTGGTTTTCTTTTAATGCGTGGTCAGGATAATTCAGAAAAGAGTCAGACTCAATGTTGTGACTGACAGTTGGACATCAAGTCAATATACAAAGGCTGTCTGCAACAAGAATGGCAACACTTCTGGCACAACAGATACAGCATATGGCACCAGTGGTGTAACTAGGATCTTATGGGCCTCCCAGTGCAATCCTCCCAATAGATCCCATACAAAAATCTTACTTTTAATGAATAACAATTTACAGTATAATTTCCTTGCTATTGTTATATCTCATCCAAGTTGATGCTCTCAAGGCATGCCACTCCACCCTGTCTGAAGCCATGTAGAGCTACAGAGTATGTCTAAGACTTAAACGTATGGTACTCACTCACTTAAAGGGAAGCAAAATCATCCGTGATAGCCATCAAATCCAAATTTCTTGTTCTACCATTTCAATGGACAGAACAGCTAAACTATTAACTCCACTCCCATGCTGCTCCTCAGGTCCTTGGTAAGCGTAAAAAACAGTAACAGGTAGGCTAAGTTTCAATACCCTTTACATGCCCATATCAACTTTCTTTTGGAATCCCTAAAGCCATTTTAAGGGCTGGTCTATTACTCTCTTTGCTTAAGTGAAGTTTGTTGGACAGGTTTGTTGGAGGGAATGAGTGAGGACAGGGTGAGGGGTGAGGGAACAAAGGAGCAGAACTTGCCCATAAATCATTGCAATATGATGCAATTTCATTTCCGTTTCTGAAAAAAAGGCGGACAAAGCTGTTTATAACTGGAAGCCTCAGCAAGAAGACAATAAATATTTTGAAAAAGGAATTTTTTATAGAAATAGCAGGATCATAATAATCATAATAATTATACAGATCCCTTGCTGTGTATATTACATACATATTTTTATGCACTGTTTTAGAGGTACATGCATGGTTTTAAAGGTATGAATAATTAATATATTATTTTGCAAGTTGTGAAGGATCCATTTGGCTGCCATGCAAGAGACGCATTATGTATAAGACAGAGAGATTAAACAGATGTTAAGGCTGTCTATAAAACGTGATGAGGGTTGGTAAGCATGCTGTTAAATTATCAGATCTATGTAAATCTGCAATATCAATATAAGGAGCCTAAAAATAAAGGTGGTAATGTGCCTGATGACCATTTGTATTGTGCACAGTCCAGATCTTTTGTACATTGTAACCAGATTTCAGAATCGTATTTTTATACAGTACTTTGTATTTTTGTCACCAATATATGTAATGAAATATGTCATTTCATTACACTGATATTGTATTTCCTTTTCTTTTGTTATCTTAGGTTAGGCAGTTCTCAGTTAGAGATGCCATTCCATTTTGCATTCCATTTTTTTTTTTTTTTTTTTTTTTTTTTTTTTTTTTTTTTTTTTTTTTTTTTTTTTTTTTTTTTTTTTTTTTTTTTTTTTTTTTTTTTTTTTTTTTTTTTTTTTTTTTGCAATTGCTCATCCTGTAGCCTACTTTCCATCCAAATGTCATGAGAGGATCAACATTTTCAGTTCAGTTTTCCATTCCTTTTACTTTATATTTATGGCCTTCACCTTGCCTGGAGGTTCAAACCTGGCTCAGGTCAAATTGTAACAATATCTTTAGAAACAAACGATAAACTAATTGTTTAACCAGTTGTTCCGCTCAGACATGACATTTCTGATCCTGTGAAGAATGTGTTCTCTAAACTACCACTCGCTGCACACACACACACACACACACACACACACACACACACAAAACATCTCAGTAGTTGTCTTAGATCTTTGACAGTGAACTCAGGATCATTCTCTCATTGCATCGTTTATGCCCTTCCTGCTTTCTTTCCTTTTTTTTTTTTTTTTTTTTGCTCTGATTCTTCACATTTCAGTGTCTCTCTAAACAAGAATGCATTTGTGCGTGTGTTTGTGTCTGTGCATGTGTGTGTCCATTTTGTTTGGATCAGTGATGCAGATGCAGCTGGAGGTGAGTGTTGTCCCTGCATTTGTCTTAATTAATCTTTAATGAACCCCCTTTCTCTCTCCTCTCTCTCATAGCAAGTGTGGCCACATAAATGAAACATGAAGCTCAGCAGTATTAGTCTCAGTGTGTTCATTTGGGGTGAGCAGCACATATATCCTCCACCTCAGCCTGTCACACTCTCTTAGTGCCCTTTTTATTGCTCTGCCACACTCTCCTATTTAATATTTCATAATGTGCTTATTCTCCTAGCTCTCGTAATCAAACACATTCAACAGGACATGTATATTTCTACAGTTTATTCTGCCATATGCATGTAAAACCACCAGATATATTTTAGGAGGCATAAGGCAATAAAAGCCTCAAATATTGAACTGTTGTTTTGCAGAGTAGTGTTGAAAATAAAGTTTGAGAGTTGCAGAGTGTTCTGTCAGCACTGAGAGCAGGTCACCTCCATGCTTAAAAAGACCTAATAAAACTATGTTTCTGTGCAGGCAGAAAGTCTCCCAGAGCATGTCTAGCTTCTGGTGACCTATGAGAACATTGCTCAGTGTGCAAGCTCGGGCTCAGCAGAGGCAAAAAGCCTCCGGCACTGCAAAAGTAGCTGAGACACAGCCAAATTCCTTGCAATGTACCACATGTTCCCCTGAGCCACTTCCACACAGGTGTTCTTCTGCTCTCCTTTGCTCCCGCTCTTTCTCATCATAACACACTCATTCTGCTTCTCTTTCTTCCATTCTTTACATCCTTTGAGGATGCAAGCCTCTTTCTTGTTCTTGTTTTCTTTCCCCCGCTCACTTTCTCTCTTTCGTTCCTTGTTTCAAGACTGAGGACCTAAGCCAGTTCTGTCAAGCAGTTCCTGTCATTGTGCCAGGCTCAAATCTTATTTGATTCACTGCAACATGCAGACCTAAATCAATCACTCACAGTAGTGTAGGGGAGAAAAATCAGTTAGCTCACTAAAAGACACAAGATCAAAGATAACAGTTACATCACTACAGCAGATCTAAATGTATCAGTCCCTTTGGTCTAGCTGATTAGGCAAATCTATCTAAACAACATTCTAAAAATTGTCATGTTACTATTATTGGGTAAAGAAATTGTTATTTTGCTAAGTTTACTAAGTTTTAAACAAAGAAATAAAAGCATTTTTATGCTAAAAGCATTGCTTTTTTGTTCAAAATGGGACATTTGCTCTAAGGATTTAAATTTCTTAAGTATTCGATTACAACAGGCCTTTTGAGTTTGCACAATACAATTATATTCATCAGCTGAACAAGCAGTTTAAAGTTGATTCAATTTTAGCTACATCAGTTCAATCTAAATTTCTTATCTATGCCATTGTTTTGAGGTAGTTTTTGAGGTAGTCACTAGCAGTATGTAGCAGTAAAAAGTGCTATTGTAATCAGATACTTCAGTTTTGTTTTTTTTTTAATTGAGAAGATGATTTATTTTCTGCAGTGTACAACTCTACATCCTGTAGGGTCCCTGGAGGACTAGTGGTTAGGCCTCTCCACTCTCGCCGCCCCGGCCGGAGTTCGATTCCCAGCCAGGGAACTGACCCCAGCCACTGGGGTTGTACAAGACAGTGCTCTCCCAGTGCCGGTCCCAAGCTCAGATAAAATTGGGGAAGGTTGTGTCAGGAAGGGCATCTGGTGTAAAAACTGTGCCAAATCAAATATGCAGACCAATAATCTGCTATGGTGACCCCTAACAGGAGCAGCCAAAAGAACAACAACAAATGCACATACTGTAAGCACTATCCCAAAGTAAAACAAACTAGAACCCTATTGTTCCAAGGTAACTAATCTAGCTAGCTAATGCACTTAATTTAAAACTGGTCTAGTGGCCATGTGTGCACTTTTCATGGGCATTATGTAAACTGGAGAAACATAAACGCCGCTAAATAAAATGACATTCTGTGACATCCATGATTGATTAATTATAAGTAGGTTACTTATTTCAGTATCAGTATCAGGTATTGGTATCAGTGAGTACCCAAAATGAATACTTGTTCTTGTACTTGGTCTGATGAAAAAAGGTGTTGATGCATCCCTAGTTTTAATAGATCAGTATCTCATTTTAGTAAAAGCTACCTAATGTAGTATGAGATATTCTAATAGTGTGAGACAGTTAGAGCTGGGCAGTACATGTTGAACTGTTGGTGATTTATAGTATTCTCTGTAGAATGTAATCTGTCTCACAGTTTGTAGTCAGTGTGTTGTATCGTATGAAGATGCAGGTTCAGATGTGTGGTATGGAGAAGGGGGAGAAGGAGAGAGAAGCCCTGCTATGAATCTGCAGTATGCTTGGGTCAGAGTGGGTCAGATGATGAAGTCAGAGGCCCTACAGTAGGTGAAGCAGAGGACACATCTCCAGTCCTCTCTGCTCTTTGATAGCACTGTCAGGGGCCGTTCTATGTATTTGGGCTGTGACACAAAGGCAGAGGCAGGGCAAAGAGGCTCTATTTCAGCTCTGAAAGAGCTGCAGGGAAGGAGAGAGGACAAAGAAAGGCAGAAAGTGAGAGATTAAAGGGGAGAAATTGAGAGAGATTGATAGAAATATAGAAATAGGAATTGTATTGAAGAATATAGTTCTGTTATATACATTGACTGTAAGGAGGACATCAGTTCATCTTTACAAAGGAGAGAAATGCAGAGAAATAAGATGATTCAAGTACAGAATTATCAGACAGACACAAGGTAGCAAAGGAAGCTATGGAGGAATAACAAATATATGAAACTGTTTGCTCAGAGGCCTGACTTTGTTTACACTGTGCTAGAACACTAGAGAGGACGCAAAACATCCACTGTTTTAGCTTATATGTGCTAATTATTTTAATTAGAATTCCTTTTCGGACATTATTAGCTCTAAGGTATTATGTTTGCCAAACCTTGATTCAAACATTGTTATTGTACCAGCAACCTGCACACACACAGACACTTGCTCACGCTGTGTGTACGCTCTCTCGCAGTCTGAGTGCACACACAGAGGGAAATTATAATTAATCTGTTAATGACAGTTGAATCTGTCATTAGCTGGGGGAGTGTATAATAAATTGCGGTAATAAAAATTAAGATTGCATGCATCATTGAGGCCTTCTGAGGGTTTGTTTAATGTAGTTACAAAAATGCCAGTAGCTGAAGTGGCCTCCACCACTGCACCAGTATGCTTCTCACTTAACCCGCCACTACTCACGCTGCACAGGACAACCCTCCACCAACCTCTTTTTGCTACTGTATTTGCTTCTGTAAGCTGCATCGGTGACTGAACTCACATTCTTACAGAAATAAGAACTCTTACAGACACAACGGCACTTAAATTAGAGACTGATTATACTGAAATGGACAGACTCATATATACTATCCTCCCCTCTATTCTGTTTTTCCCCCAGCCAAACTGTTCTGTAGTGAGTTGGGCTAGCTTTGGGTGCCCTGGAATTTGTCAACGATACTGCAGTACCTTACATGAAGATGGAGAGTGAAAGACTCAAGTGAAACCCTCATGTTCCAAACTCCAGAAGCCAAGTGAGGGTCAGCCATTACTACAACCAACAGGCCTGGAGCGCTGACTGATTGGATACCATCATCTAAAAGTGCTTCAACACAGACAAATGAGTATGAACTGAGCTGGGGTTAAAGGAGCACAGTCTACATTGTCTCCTTTTCCGCTTTCAGATTAGCAGAGGGGCCTAGCCATGCTCGGGCAGTGCAGTGGGGAAGTCTTGGAACTTCCTTTGCTTTGATGTAGCACAAATAATCTTGTGTGGGGTACTCTATGAAAAAAATACACAGTCACACACTTTAGAAACACAGCCTTCCACTCCAGCCCCTCAGTTACACTGTGCATTAACACCTTGTACATGTTATAATGTTGGATTTTTCTAGTGTATCATATAGCAAGCTCATTGTGACTTGATTTCTCACAATGGCACAGCTTTGACATTGTAAGTGGATGAACATTAGCATGTGAGCCTCTGTTGCTAGTGATCAGGGCTCCTTATCTCCATCTCTGGGAGGGTATTTGGGACACAGAGCTCTGGGTTCAGAGTTTGGAGTTCAGGTCTAGCCTACAGGCAAGGCTGTTGCACATGTATCCTGACACTACTTAACCCTGGAGGCTCCAGTAGGTCATGCTGCCACAACATTGCCCTCCGTGTGACACCAGCCAGAGCTGCCCACAGGACAAAGCCTAGCCTGTAGGTCTCAGAGAGCCTACTCACACACTTGGCTCAATTACCAATCGCTCATATTTACCCATAAGCTGTGAAGTCATTACAGGGTCTGACTGACCACAGCCTCAACCCTGCAGAGGTCACTTGCTGGGCCAGACAAAGGGGTCAGAGCAAAACCCAACGATGACTGACCACAATGGCTCCCATCAATCGTCAGTCTGATGGCCTTAGCCAATCAAAACAGGACAGAGGCAATGGATGAAGAAAGATTATGATGAATTTGAACAAGGTGAAGTGTGTGTTTATGTAATAGTCCATAACAGCTTGCATAATATTAAGAAAAAAATAAGAGAACCCAACACCATATACACACATACTGCTAAATGCAAGCCAAATGAAAAATATGGGAAAAGCTCAGGGCAAAACAAACCATTACAGATAGCCAGGAACACTAATTTATGTTTACTATAAATATGTTCTATATAAAAAGTGCTTTGTTGTGCTATAATTCTGTCTCTTTATATGTGTGTGAGGGTTTAAATGGGCAATAAAAGATAAGAAAGGGCTATGTGAGTGTAGTGGTGTGTAATGAACTCTCAGAGGACACACGAAACAGAAACATGGGGGAAGGAGCAAGACCTTGAGATGTTCCAGTCAGGTTTCAGACTCTTTTCCTCCTCATTCCATCTTTCTTTTAGATTCAGTTTCCATGGTATCCACAACAATTATCTCCCATTTGTCAGCCAGTTGTGTTGCTCAAGTTTGTTTGCTATCGCTCGCTCACTGTATTAATCATAACGCGGACAGGTATTTATCACTTGCCAGTCCAAAGGTGATCAAACAGAAATAATTAAGTATTACACTAACACACACGCACACACACACACACACACACACACACACACACACACACACCAGCATTTCCCTAATTCATATGCCGTAGGTAGGTGTTATGTTAATTAATATTGCTTCATATCTATGTAATAGCTATGGGACATTGGTGACAAATTTTAGCCTACTTTTTGCAAAAACCAAACAAATAAATAAACCATAATTTAAGCCTAACCAAGGTGCCACCAGAATGAATCCTTCTTTTTTCACTTTTACACATTTAGATAAAAAAACATAATTATTCTTTTTAATTAGTGCTTCCAGCCACTCTATTAAAATTCTAATTTTCTGCCTGTGCTTCAATTGATCTGGTCAGGCTGCTTTTTGGGTGCTGTGGCATGTGTGTGTGTGTGTGTGTGCTGTGGTGCATGGCTCTTGCATTGCGGTTGCGGTGTGTGGTTTTGTGGTTTGCTGTGTGGAGCAGGCTCTGGAACTGATGAGGTGAGGAGCATGGTTCCCCAGCACCGCTCCGGTAATCACACCACTGTAGAAACTCATACATCACACAGATGCACTTCTAGCAGTGCCACTCACACACCGCCACCTCACACTCCACACCGGACAAATGACGGCCAGACGCTTGCCTGTCTACACACAGATGGCTGTGCATCTTTATGCAGAAAGAGCTGAGTGTGCCACTTTCACACTCCCTCTCCTTCTCCTCACCCCCCCCCCCCCCCCCCCCCCCCCCCCCCCCCCCCCCCCCCCCCCCCCAAATTTATTTTTCCTCTTTCATTCCCTCTCTCCATCAGTCCTCTCCTCCCAGGCTGCTTGTCTTGCCCTTCTCCTGTATAGTAGGTGGAATAATGGGTGTGTTGGTAATAGTGCAAGGGAAAATGACTGGAGTTATTTGTTGGGTGGTTGACACATGTGGAGCATTGTCCTTGCAATAATCATCAGCCCACTGCTGGGTTTCACGAAGAGAGCTGTCATAGCCACTTTGCGTCTCACCACGGGAAAGCTATTTCTATACATAAGTACATTTGTGTGTGTGTACATATATATATATATATATATATATATATATATATATATATATATATATATATATATATATATAAAATAAATAATCAATGACATGATGCAAACCTGCAATAATGAAACTTTCGAATGAGAAGCCTGCAATAGCTCAGTGCATAATAGCTGTGAGTAGCTCAGTGAGTAATACCTCAGTGCATCTTCGACCATTAAAAGTACTGCACATACACATTGGGATAATCGTCAAATGGCCATCACGGGGCACAAAACAAATCAGTGACCTTGTTAGCAGCTTACCAAGAGAATATTTACTACATGTGGTAGAAATCTCCTGTACACCTGATGTCAGTTGTAAGTGGCGTGCTTTTCTTAACCATGCTGAAAGTAAGACAAATTGTCAACGTCTGAACACACACACACCATGGTGCACTGATAGCATAAGTGACACAAATATACAGTGTATTGTAAAAAACAGTGTACTTTAACTGAAACTAGAAAAAATAGATTGTTACAG